GTCTCTGCTTCCTTGTTTTTGTAGAGGAGCCTGTGACATCACAGATTAGCCTCTGTCTGGTCCCTGGCTTGGGGGACAATAGAGAATAGATACCCAGCCAAGCCCTGGCTATCGGACAGGCAGGGTTTGCCATGATCAGGGGCATAGAGACTGTGACCTGAAGCCAGAGCTTGGGTAAGGAGGGCTGCACTGTGAGACATGGCTGTCCAGCTACCCGAGCCACCCTACAGGGTCTACAGTGTGCTGGGAGATAGCCCAGCAACACCAGCTCTGATCACCCAGTGCAGATGAACGCTGCGCCGCTGGGTGGGGAGCTCCCCAGCCCCCACTGTTCACGCTCACAGTGTCCAGCAAGCGTTTCGAGGTGGAACTGGAAACCTGAGCGGCTGACGTGTCATTATTTGTGCAGCTGGAGAGGGAGCAGAACTGATAACAGCTCCGGGGGTGTGGTGTGTGCGGCACGCAGCGCGCGTGCGCCTCTGGTATACGTGACCTGTGTACCACAGAGCTAGGTCTTGACGCTCCCGATGACGCACATACACAGAGGTTGGAGACCCCCACCCGCAGTGTGGACTGCCAATCTCTCGGGCCTGGCCCCTGGGTGGTGCTGGCCACCCAGGCTGCTGAGTGTTGCCTGCCCTGCTCAGCCCTCATCCCTGGGTTTCTGCCAGCAGTTTTCCCCAGCTGGGGATAGGGATGACTTATGGGCCCTGAGCAGAAAAATCACTGTCAGAGCCAGAACCCCAAAGACAGGACCCAGGCTGGGCTCTGCTGGCTGGTGTCCCTCCCATTAGCTCTCCTCGCCACAGGGTGGCAGGGGTGGCAGCCAACACAGCAGGAAGCCGTGATGTGAGAGGGCAAGGGAGCAATCCCTCAGCCCCTCCCCTCGGCCCCTCCTCCAGCCCCTCCTCCAGCCCCTCCCATGATCCCCTCCCCTCAGCCCAGCCCACCCTTTCTCTGGGCCTGCTAGCAGCTCTGGCCCTCCCTGGATAGAGAAGAGCCCTGGGATGGACCTTGAGCTCTAAATAGCTTTAGTCACCTCCCATAGCAGCAAAAGAAGGGTGTGCCTGGGGTTCCTGGTGAAGTCAAAGAGGCCGTGCCTATGGGAGGAGGCTGCTTGTAGGAGGCCTTACTCTTAAGGCCTCAGAAACAAGCTGTGGTTTCCAGAAGGCAAAGGCCAGATGTGTCAGCCAGCACCTGGAGAGAACATCTGGGGGCTGGGTAACATTCTCACACAGAATCCTGCATTTTCTGATTATTGGAGATGGGTTGTGTGTTGTTATGCATTTCATTCGTGGTATTATTCATACATTGATGGTGACAGCCTGGAGAGGAGACTAGTGGATTACCCCCACCCCCTCCCCCCTGCCTCTCCTGCCCCCCCCCCCCGCGCCTCTCCCTGAACTGCGCCTGTGAGTGTTGGTAGTGAGATCCACGGATCCTATGTGTGAATGCATACGTGTTCCTCGGATATTCAGCATGAATATGTCTGGAGGGGACCAGTAGAATGTGTAGGTTCCTGGGCCAAAGCTAAGGGCCCCAAATATGCCAGCATTATGAAGTTATTGTTGATTTTCCCGTTTTTATCATTCACCCATAAAAAACATTTACAGTTGTAGAACTGCTATAAATGCTCACTCTGAACTGGATGACCGTCAGCTCCCAGGCTTTCCCAGGTAGACGCTCACGCCAGGCCTTCTGATATATCAACAGTGGTTCTTTGAAGATTAAAGATATAAGAAAAAGCAAGATAAGTGATGAACCGCGTGGTGGTTTGTGACTTGAGGAGAATTCCAGGAACAAGAAAAGTCAGAAGTCACAGAGACGGGCTTCCATCCATTTAGAAGCTAATGGGAGACTTCCGTCCTTCAGAGTAGGTGATACTTGGCAAACGCGGGTAAGGTGTGCCCAGCACAGGAGCCCAGGGTCCTAGTCTGGTCTCTTGCTGTGATGAAGACCGTGTCCAAAAGAACTAGGGGAGGAATGGGTTAATTTCCACTTCCACAGCCTATCAGAGTCAGGGTAGCAAAAGGTGCTGCTACCTGGCTGCCTCCTGACTTGCTCAGTTCTTTCTTATACCAGGCGGTAGCACCGCCCACCGTGTCCCGCCCACACCAATCAATCAAGAAGACACTCCCACAGACGTGCCCACGGGCCAATCTAACAGAGGGGCATTTCCCAGTTGGGTAAAGGTGACCAAAACTGAGCAGCAACCGAGGCAGGAGGATCTCAGACTCAAGGGCTGGCGATGCAGCTAAGTCGTAGAGCTGTGTCAAGATCCTGTGTGGGATCGCCAGCGTGAGATCGCCTGCGTGGGATCTCCAGCAGCACACACACAGGAACAAAAGGCAGTGCTTAGCACGTCCAGTGTTTGGCTTCCTGGGCTGTCATAAGAAGTTAACATACAAGGAGCTCTTGGACAGTAAGCGTTTATTCCTTCGAAGCTTTGGAAGCTAGAAACCCAAGGCCACGATGCTGGCCAGTTTGTACCTTCTGAGGCTGTGAGGGAAATGACCCTTGACTCCTCTCCCGGGCCTGGAGGTGGCAGTCTGCAAAGCCAAATAGCTATAAAGGTGTGTCTGCCTCCAAATTCTTTTTCTGAGAGCCTCGGTCATCCTGGATTAAACACCAGTGATCCCGATAGCTTGAATTCTTCAGGTAACACTGAATGCTGAGCTGGGAGTTAGGACCACAGCATATGGGACTCAGGGGACGTGTCCAGTCCACGAGGCAGGGAGTGTGATTGTGATGTAGGCAAAAGGACGATATAATTCCAGTGGGTGGGATTTTACGCTTTTAAATTTCTGTATTTTTAGACCAAAGAAGACGCAAATGTAGTTTGGATCATGCTATTTAAGGGACTGTGTTCATACATCTTCATTTGTTCCTCCCCGCCCCCTCCTCTTTTCTTCTCTTCCTCATTCCCTTCTTTTGCAGACAGGGTCTCACACACCCCAGGCTAGCCTTAACTCAGATGTCTTTCTGCCTCCACCTCCCAGCGATCTCTGGGATTGCAGGCGTGTGCGTGCGCAGCCATGCGGGGCTTACGTCACGCTAGGGGTGGAGCCCAGGGCTTTGCGCGCCTTAGGCAGACAGATGCTCTACCCACTGAGCCACAACCCAGACCATCATAACTTTCTTGAATCTACTTATCCCCAGTGCTGGAGATCAAAGTAGAATTTTTACCTGCTATGCAAGTGTTTTACCACTGAGACACCGTAGTCCAGACATTGTTATAAAAAGTTTTATTACATTGTGTGTGTGTGTGTGCACGTGCGCACATGCATGCATGCATATACACAATGGTGGATGTATGGACGTCAGAGGTCAAGTTTTGGGATCAGTCCTCTCTTTCTACCCCATGGGTCCCAGGGATCAAACTTAGGCTATCAGGCTTGGCAGCAAATGCCTTTACCTGCTGAGCCTTCGAGTTGCCCCACCCCCACCCACCCTTAACAAAGTGTTATGCAGCCCAGGCTGGCCTTGAACTCACAGCCCTCCTACCTTGGTCCTCCAGATGCAGAGACTTCAGGCAGATGTTACCTCACCCAATGCAGGAAAAAAGGGTTTCAGAGTTGAAATCAGACCGAGCGTTGCCTCTGCCCAGTGTGATGGAAACCAGACACCAGGCGGCAGGTTTAACTTAGATGAAAGAGGCGAAAAGCAAATCCATTTTGAAAATAAGAATTGTCTTACCAGAGTAAATGACCCTGGCTAATATGGAACAGATTTGCCCTGGCTTGTCCAGAAGCAGCCAGGGCTCTCCAGAACATTGCGGGAGGGAGGCTGTGTGCACGCCCAGCCATCCTAGCGTGGAGAGGCAGGAGTGCCCACACAGAAGATGAAGGCCTCCCGCATTCCGTGTCTCTTCCTCCCATGTGGCTCCGGATGCCTGTGTTATTAAACGAACAGCAGCAGGATGCGCCTCACAGCCGACGCCCGGCGTTTGGAATCTCCCCCCAAGCTTCCAGCACGTTCTTTTGATTATCCTCAGTGTGGCTAAACAGTGCCACTGACTGAGGATGCTCTTGGTTTTCGGAAGCAGATGAGGGTTGTTGGCAGCCAAGCCTGGCGCTGATGCAGCTCCCTAAGTGATGTGGGGGTGAGAGGCTCAGGGGAGGCTGCGCGTGCCTCTGCAGCCACTGTGGAGGCCACGCCCACTGTGGAGGCCACGCCCACGGCAGCCCTGGGCACCCCAGGTGGCAGGCAGGGACTGCTACAACAGCACACCAGACTGAAGAATATAAAATGTCTCACTGCTCTTTTGTTGTTGTTGTTCATTTTTAGTGATTTAAGAGCACTGACTGCTCTTCCAGAGGTCCTGAGTTCAATTCCCAGCAACCACATGGTGGCTCGCAACCATCTGTAATGGGATCTGATGCCCTCTTCTGGTCTGTCTGAAGATAGCGACAATGTACTCACATACATAAAAATAAATACGTAATTTTTAAAAATAAATTAATTTCAATTGTTTCTTTTCCTCCTTTCAAATATGGCTACTAGAAAGTATTGTGTCGTTTACATGCGTTGTGTAATTTCTAGGCCAGAGACAGGTCACTCTCCCCTTCTCTTTTCCCTTTTGTTCTCCTTTCTCTAACTCCTTCCTCTTCCTCTCCCTCCCCCTTTTTCTGCTTCTCCTCCTCTCCCCACTCCCTTGGTTTTCCGAAGCAGCTGAGGGCTGTTGGCAGCCAAGCCTGGCGCTGGCGCGGCTCCCTAAGTGATGTGGGGATGAAATGCTCAAAACTGTGGAGAGATGCCAGTGGCCTGTGGTAGAGTGAGCTCCGGGAGGCTCTACAGCACGGTCCCACAGCTCTGCATGCGCCCTGTGCCAGCAGGATCCAGAACTCACTGGAATCCTGACGGTCCCGGGCAGGACGCAGTCCAGTATCCGGGGTCTACTCTCTCGCCCCTCTGACCGAGGTCTCCTCTCTCGCCCCTTCAGGTCCTGACAAGCCCTGCCTGGGAGCAAGCGTGCGGAGGATGGAAACGCGCGCTCAGCCATGTCTCTGGGCCGCCTCCTTCGTCGGGCCTCCTCCAAGGCCTCGGACCTCCTGACCCTCACCACGGTGGGCAGTGGCGGGTCCCTCTCCGTTCTGGATGGAGAGGTCATCTACTCCAAGAACAATGTCTGCGTGCACGCACCCGAGGGGCTGCAGGGCCCTGGGGAGCACCACCCAGGTGAGCCGGGGGTTAGGCATGCTAAGCCAGGGAGGGGAGGCCCAAGGCTGAGGGACTAGGTGGATCTTCCCAAGGATTCACCCTTTTTGTTTTCCCCGGGCCCCAGCTTTTGAGAACTCGAGGATCAACAGGGAGACCCGAAAGGGAGACTTCCTAGATCTCTGTATTGGACCTTTGTGTCACCAGTGACCATTCTTGGTCATTTGTGGTCTCTGGGAATGGAACTTCCCCTCGGCTACCAGTGTTTTGGAGGTTCAGCTTTAGACTTTTGGAGGCTCAACTTAGGGCAATATGGGATTGGTGGCTTTGATACAGGAAGGAATCCCAGAAGTGGCTTGTTTGCAGAGCAGAGGCTCAGGAAAGACATTTAAAATGGGCTTCAGCACAGGGAGAATGAGATCTCCACCAAGAGGCTCGCCCGGGAGTGTGCATGTGGGCTTCTCTCTGGTGAGGTCCCAGCTGGTCCAGCTACCTGTGAAGCATGGCAGGGTTCTAGGCTGTGAGTTCAGGGCTTCGAGGGTCCACTCACTCACTAATCTAAAGCAACGGCCGTAACCGTAAACGCAACAGCTCTCTTAGGGAGCCCTGTGCCTTATTTGCGGTGTTGTAAAGGACCGTCCAGGATGGATCTTAGGTTCTCATCTGTATCCCAAGGCCATGTGACTGGAGGATGTGGGAACAGCCTCGCCTTATGTGAGTGTTAGGAACAGCTGGCTTAGTCTCCCAACCTCTGTGAGACACAGAAGCGTGCCAAGGAGATCTTGGCTGGAGCTCAAGTCCCCAGGGATCTATGTGGTTGATGTTGGCTCTTGCTTAAAGGGTTTTGAATCACAAAATCAGGGAAGCCTGGGAATATGTCATAGCCCAGAAATCAGGATACCCCTCAACAGCCTGGGGCTGTGTTGGGAGATGCCAACCTTCCCCTCTCTCGAGAGCTTGGTGCTGACAAACGTTTTAAAAGAGGTCCCTTCCTCAAAACCTACATTTAAAACGGCAAGCCAAGAAAGCCATTGCTGACTGGAGGAGTCCCAAGTGCTATCCATCTGTCCATCTTGGATCCGCTCTTGACACGATTGGCTCTCCCATCTGCCTCCCTCCTCCTAGAGCTGTGCATGTAGCTGCGCTGCCACCTGCCCAGCCAGCCCCTGACCACCTGCCCTGCAACTCCCCACAGGGTACCTGTGCCTGTACATGGAGAAAGATGAGCTGCTGGGGGCTACCCTCATCCTGGCATGGGTCCCCAACTCTCGCATCCAGAGGCAGGACGAGGAGGCCCTACGCTATATCACCCCCGAGAGCTCCCCTGTGCGCAAGGCACCCCGTCCTCGGCGGCGGCGTACCACAAGCCTGGGGGCCCCCTACCAACCCTCTCCCACAGAGCCAAGGCCTCCCCTGATTCCCAAAGACGAAGACATCCTGGTCGTGGTTCAGAACACACAGGATACTGTGCATATCAGCCCTACGGATGAAGATGGGGAAAAACTGGCCCAGGGGCCAGAGGTGGATGGACCCTTGCCCACCTCACAACCTGTGCATAGTGACTCTGGGATCCTGTCTACCGTTAGCTCCCAGGATGGGACGGAGGATGGTCGGGAGCCACGGCCCGAGGCTGTGGAGGAAGAGGGCTCCTTGGAGTTGTCGGCAGATGGCGTGAGCAGGGATAGCTCCTTCGACTCGGACTCTGACGCCTTCTCCTCGCCCTTCTGCCTCTCTCCCATCAGTGCGGCCCTTGCGGAGGGGAACAGTTCTGCATTCCTGGAGAGCGAGGGGAGGTGAGTTCATGATACAGACCCATAAGACCTGATCTGGGTTGCAGGAAGTGGTTCCATTATCACCTGCTCAGTCCATAAGGTCCAGGCTCAGGCTTAGGGCCACCACATGATGACTGAGAAGGATACCCCATGGGTCCCTGTGTTCATGTTCCCCAGTCCTCTGCCTCTCGATCCATTCCTCTTCCACAGCCTCACTACTGAGGACGACCGCCTGGTAGGGTGACCTTTGACCAGGGATCAGCTCGCAGGATCTTTAGACTTTCTGTTCCTATTTGAGAAGAGTGTCAGATGTGTCTCAGCCCCCAGGCAAACTCCCGCCCCACCCCTGTGACCCTGGATGGTAACTGTGAAGTCCTGTGGTGTTGCCTGGCCCGCCTCTGGGTTCTGTGCTGTCTTTATAGACTACCTGACACATAGCCTGGTGCACTGAGCCTGTTGCTAGCTGTAGAGCCCTGGGTGTTTGTTGTCAGTGGAATGTGTGCAGCATTCACTCTGCTGAGTCAATGTGCCGGTGCCCATTTGGGGAGCACGTGCCAGGAACTTGGCTAGTGAGTGGACTGGATAGCATATGCTATACTTTCACGAGTCGGGAGACAGGATGGCTTGCCTTGCAGAGGGTCCTCTGGTCTAGGGGTCCAAGGTGATATGTCTGATCAAGGAGAGCTGTCACTATGTCACCCAGTGTCCTCAGGGTTCTTAGGTCCTGTTGTGTACAGAACTTTTCCTGGGGAGATGTCGGGAGCAACCTTGCTTATACACTGAAGGCTAATTGCTGGCTAGGAATTCAAGATGGAGTCTGTCCTGATACTACCTCCTTGATAAGGGGTGAGAACATTGGTCTTGGTGTTTGAGAATGCAGACGGAATGAAGCAGTCAACCATGATGAGCATTCTAGGCCTGGTTCATGGAACCAGAATTTGAATAAGAAGTAACCTTTGGTAACCTCTGCTGGGCAGGCTTGGGAGCTCCCCCTGGTGGTGACACCGCAGCAGTGTCTGATGCTTTCTAGTGATGCTACACCCAGTGCCAGGCTGAGGTAGAGGTGGCCTTGCCTGGCTTATCTGTACCCTATAGTCTGCAGCTGAGGATGGACCTGAGCCTGCTCCCTGTCCAGCTGTTCCATCCTGGGAGGAACTGGGATCTGGGAGTCAGGCCACGTGGTGTCGCTGAGCCCCGGCTCCCTGCTTAGCATGGGTCTGGGCAAGCTTATCTTCCAGGAACCCCTGCCTCCCCATTGTAAAATGCAGACCATAATATGTACCTCATGCCTGTACTGGAGCCCTCGGGTGCAGTGACTCTCAATCTATGGGTTTTATGTCCCTAAGCTCCCTCCCCCTACTCCTGACTGCTGTGAGCCTTAGCTCCGGGATGCCCTTACATCTGACTTTTGAGGCGCCACCTCCATCCAGTTCCCCACAGGCAGAAGGGGGTGCCTCTCACCTTTCTCTGCTCTGACCTCTCCCTGGAGCCTGGATTGCACCCTCAGGCTGCGTGCTTGGTCTGTGGCCAGTGGTGGCTGGAGGTGAGTGGTAACTTTGGACCCCAAAGGGAGTATCAGATCCTAGCCTTAGGTCAGGCTGTGAGGGCTTGTGTGTCTGCGGTGCAGCTGCCTCATGGGGGGTGAGGTGTAACTCAGAACCCTTCCCCAGGGCAGCGGTTGTGAGCTCAAGGCTGGGATATGAGATCAGGGAGCCTGGCTGGGAGCTGTCCTGCAGAGGATGGCTCTTGGGGAGTGCTCAGCGTCTCCCCTACACTCCCGATGATGCATCTTGCGCCTTAGGCTCTTGGCTTCTTGGCTGCCATGGTTCCCCTGAGGTTTCCTGCACTTGCCCTTCATGCTGGATTAGTGCATTTTGGCTGATGGTTGCTAACCGGTTGTTGTAACGAAATGCCTGAGGCTGAATATTTACAATGAAAGAAAGGAAGACTGATCCTCTGTGACCTCAGAGCAAGTAAAGGTTTGGCCGCCAAGGCTGAGTTCAATCTCCAAGACCTAAACAGTGACAGAAAGAGAGATCTCTCTCAAAAGTTGTTCTCTGACCTCCACATAGATACAGCCGCTCTCCTTCTCTCTCTGTCCCCCCTCCCCCTGTCTCTCTCTCTCTCCCTCTCTTCCTCTCCTTCTCTCTCTGTCCCCTCCCCCCATCTCTCTCTCTCCATACATTTAAAACAGGCTGGAGAGATGGATCAGTGGTTAGAGCAGTCGTCATTCTTACACAGGACCAGGTTCAGTTCCCAGCACCCACACGGTATCTCACAACCATCCATAACCCCAGGCAACCTGTCGGCCTTCTTAAACCTCTGTAAGTGCCAGATGCAGACATGGTGCGCGCGCGCGCACACACACACACACACACTAAGGCAAAACACAAAATAAATACAGATAAAAGGTATTCGTAAGTCACTGTTTAGAAGTCCTACTCTAGTGGGAGATCATTTCTGGTCTCCAGTGAAACCCTGCTGGCTGTGTCACATGACACTATAGTTGGCCTTAAAGACAGGATACCAGATCACAGGATGGGGCTGGCTAGCTTTTTTCTGTCATGAATTTATTTGCTTTACATTCTGATTGCAGCCGCTCCCTCTCCTCTTCCCAGTTCCACCCTTCCAACCCACTTTCCCCTTCTCCTCAGAGCCTTGAATTCTGATCCTCCTGCCTTCCGTGGGTTTATTCTGTGCTAGGGATCCAATCCAGGCCTCGTGCATGCTGGACTCTACCGTCTGAGCTGAGTCCCTAGCCCCTGGACCTGCTTTTCCAGCACTGAGGAGTGAACCCAGGGTCCCTTACCACTGAGATACATCCTCAGACTTTTTCTGTGTTTTCAGACAGTGGTTCGGTCTGAATTTGAGCTCACATGGTAGCTCAGGCAGCCCTTTAACTTTCTATCCTCCTGTCTCAGCTTCCCAGTAGCTGTGATAACAGGCATGGGCCTCCAGGTATATTCTGAACTCCCCAAGGAGTTTCTGTTTGCAGCGGCCTTGAGAACCATGGCTGTGGAGAGGCCCAAGGGAGACTGGGTCTTGTGTGCTGGGCAGAGATAGTGTTTGAGCTGAGGACCAGAGCCCTGGTACCGGGCAGGGGCTTAGCTCTGAAGACCTGAGAACACCCACCTGGCCTACTCCTTGAAACCAGAGAATAGAGTCCCAGGGAGGCCAGGGCAGGGCAGGGCAGGGCAGATAATCTGGCTCATGTGTGCCCTCTAGTGGTGGCAGAACTGAAGAACAGCATGTACAGGCATAGTAGCAGTTGAGGATGGACAGACAGACATGGCGGTGTCATTTCCCTCTCCATCTTGTTATACGGTGGGATGCTCACAGAAGGCCCGAGGAGTTAGAAGCATGTCAAGATCCCCTGGGCTGTCTGCATTTGTCCACTGCCTTTGGGATATAGCCCGGCAGGGCCCGCCTCTCAGTAAACCCAGCCATGTACCAAGTTCTAAGATCTCTCTCGATTCCCCTCCCGTGTCACAGTGACAGTCTGAAACCTATGGTCTGTTGATTCAAGACCTTGTTGGGAGTGGATGCCTGGGACTTGGTTCACAGGGATTGGGTTCTGATGGCCGTGGTCTCCCTCTACCCTCCTGTCCCTTCCAAGGTGTTAGGGAACATAGCTCCAGCCCTGATAGTGTCAAAGATGACACCACAGTCAGGGGCATCTGGTCACCTCTTCACCTCCAAGAGGAATGGGTCCCTTCTGAAGAACCAGCTGGGTAGTAGTGTGTGTCTAGCTCGTTTGAGTATGTCTAGCTTGTGTGAGCGTGTGGCTAGCTAGTGTGAGTGTGTAGTCAGCTCATGTGAGCATGTGTCTACCTCGTGTAAGCATGTGTTTAGCTTGTATGAGGGTCACCTCTTTACCTCCAAGAGGAATGGATCTCGAACCAGCTGGGTGTGAGCATGTGGCTAGCTCATGTGAGCATGTAGCTAGCTCGAGTTAGCTGGCCTTGTACTGGGGACAGAGATTAACACCAGACATTCTCCTTGTCCTATTCTTCTCCAAATACCCTGTATAGGAAGTAAGAGATCCTCAAGTTTCAGAAAGAAGAAAGTGCACACAGGTGTTTGAGGGAGCAAGGAGTGGGCCCACATACCCACCAGAGGGAAGCAATGTTAGCCGACCCCACTAGCAAGTGCTCCTGAGTATCTCTGGCCTGTGACCCAATCCCACCTCTCCCAGCCCTGCAGCACGAGGCAAAAGAATCCGTGCTGCTGCAAGCAAATTCCCAAAGACTCAAAACCAGAGTGGGGCTGGGGAGATGGCTCAGTCAGCCACAAGCCTGGCGACCTGAGCTCAGCCCCAGTGCCACATAAAGAGCCACGTGAGGGCATGCGCCCCTGATCCCAGCACTCCTGAGGCAGAGAGAGGAGGATCCCTGGGGGCTCACTGGCCAGCCAAAGAGACCCTGTCTAAAACCACAACCAACCAACCAAAAACAACAAAAAGGCAGGCTGGAGCTGAGAGGCTCGGTGGGTTAAGAGCACTGGCTACGTGCTTTTCAGAGGACTGGGGGAGGCTTGGCAACCACGTGGCCACTCACACTATCCGTAACTCCAGTCCCAGGGATCCATAGAACTGTTCCAGCCTTCAGTGACGCTCAGACAGACATGTAGGCATAACAGCCATTCACTTGACACCGAGGGTGACCCCTGGCTTCCACATGTGTGCGCACACACACACATATACACGTACGCACACCAGGAAGCACACGGGGTGACTGATGCCGTGGCTGAGCTATGGGGAGGGCTGAGACCTAAGGCACTTGTTTGGTGAGGCTGCAGGACTCTGGTCATGGAGGAGAACAGTCGGGATCTGAGCTGTCCAACATCGTAAACCCTCATGCCATAACCCTGTGAACCCCTGAAATAGGGCACGTGCAACCGAGAATTCTTTTTTGTTTGTTTTGTTTTGTTTTTGTTTGTTTGTTTTTGTTTTTTTTCGAGACAGGGTTTCTCTGTGTAGCCCTGGCTGTCCTGGAACTCACTCTGTAGACCAGGCTAGCCTC